CGGGGATGGGGGCAGCTCGCGCTCAACTTCATCAACGTGGCGAGCCTTGCACGTGAGAGGCACAGTGGAGGTGGAGTTCAAAGAAGAATGAGAAACTTAATGGTTTCAATCTGCCCTTGTTTTTTCTTTTTCTTTTTATTTTTGCATGTCATCAATGTGCCCGTTTTTTGCTTTTATTCTTTGTTCCGCAAAGTGCGCTCTTTTAGTTTGTAGTGATGTGACAATATATATATTTTTGCAACTTGCGAATAATGATAACAGAGTACAGGTGTAAGAATCAATCAATCAATCAATCGATCAATCAATCAGTCAATCAATCAATCAATCGATTTGTTGATCAAGCGCTAGTTGAGCAGCTTGATCCAGCAATCAATCGATTGATGATGAGTCATCCAATGATGGTCTGCTCTGATACCAAACTGTTGCATACTCGTGAAACACAGTCATAAGTATGGCGCAGATTCCCAGAACCGACCAGATAGTACAGAGTAAGTACAAATACAGCGGAAGACTTGATACATGTGGATCGACTCAAAACCTTACTCGGACTGCAACGAATCTCTCACAAACATGCATTGGTGGTGTGAAAGCCCTGGCCTTGGACATGGAAGAAAAGGCCAGGGCCAACTCTCATACACAGATGAATGGAGGGGAGGAGAGACGAAGGGAGGAGGAGAGGGAAGATGACGTCAACTTGATGTTTCTAAAAATCGTATCTCGAAGTTTCAGAAGTAGCGAAAATCCGAAATGTCAATACAGAGTCTCACAGTATCTCAGATATCGATCTCACAGTGTCAAGATACATCTCCAGAGGTAGATGAAATCAGATCCCAAAAGTAGTCCTCAACCCAAGGTCTGAATGTTGTCAGCTCCAGTAGCATCAGAACTCGCAACCATCCTTCACCCTTGTAGTAGTGCAGTAAGAGTAACCCAAGAGTAGACTGAGACTTAGAGGGTAGGAGGAGAGAGAGAGAGAGAACGGAGGAGGAAGAAGAGGGAGGAAAGGCGGAGCCTTTCTCCCTGATACCTGGCGATGCAGCTATGGCGCTGCAGGGCTGGGCGCCGGGCCGCGGGCTGGGCCAGAGGCTGGCACTACTCCGCTACTGCGTTAATTTGCTGCTGCGCTGTTCCTCCTTGCTGCTGTGCTAATATTCTCCTGGCTGCTGCTCATGCTAACGCTGAAGTGCTGAGCTAACGCTGAAGTGCTGCGCTAATCCTGAAGCCTAGCCTCCTGTTGACTAACCTGCCTACTGAGGCTGGTCCCTGGCCGATATAGTGCTGGGCCAGCCTCAAGGCTGCTGGTACCTTGGGTCTGGACCGTTGATCTGATTCAACGGTTCAGATCTGTTGCCGGAAACTGAAAGTGGCGGCCTAACTTGGCTGCTGTTCAAAACTGTGCCGCCGGTAGGTCCTACTGCTGGACCGGTACCGGCCTGAACCGATGTGACCGTTGGGCCTGTCTAGACCCCTACACCTAGGCCTCCAGGCTCAAACTAAACCGTCGTACCCTGACCTAGATGGAACCGGGCCCTAACCGGGGCCTGTGTGGCTCAGAATGCCACACTCACATTCTTGCCTGTATTGTTGATATCTGGCCAGTGGCCACTACGTAGCTGTTGGTTGGGCTTCTGAGCATGAGAACTGTGGGATGATGGCACTATGGTTCACGCCAGTGGGCCCGTCGATGAATTTCTGAGTCTAAGTGCACTCAGTTCTGAGGAATATATCACGAGGCCCCTCGATGGATATCTGATTCTAAGAGCACTCTGTTCTGAGTAGTATATCACAAGGGCAGGACACCTCTGTTGCAGAAGAGGAAACATTTTCAGCAGAATGTGCACTCCCTCATCGTCAGTTTCAAGCCGCGGTGAGTCTTCCTCGCATTGAGCAACACTATGTTGGAATGTTTTCAGTAGCAATGTGTTTAGACTCGAGAGCTGTGCCGAACCTTTTCTCATTGTGAACATCCTAACATGCAGATGTACGTCTTCTGCCTAGAGCTGGGCCCAGTTTTCCCCGACAACATACAAAGAGCTGGGCCCAGTTTTCGCGAAGGACAACCTGATGAGTGTACGCCCTCATCTAGTGAATCTTCTTCTGCATTTATTGCCTCTAGAACTGACGTGTCGTTGTCATGAATATTTTTCGGGCATGTTCTGTGGGATCTTCTGTGGTGAGTGCTGCATTGAGGCTTTTGTTTTGGGTTTACCCTGGCATCATGCACAGCGTCCATACTGTTTCTCTCTCATCTTCAGGGAAGAATGCTCTCAACGCCTAACCTCTTTCTTCCTGTACTCACGATGCAGCGTCTTCTTCTCCCTGCCTATTCTCTTGTCCATTCTTCTCTGCAAGGTACAATGTGCTTCTAGCAAGCAGACAGTAGAGTGGGCACTTCCCGCTCAGCCGCACAAATGGAAGGCGCACTTTACCCAGGAATACCTTTTTTGTCTCCCTCTACTGGGTACACAATTCCTCCCATTTGTGTAATTGTGCGGGAACGGTCAATTTGCCTGTCTGCTTTCAAGAAGCACATAGCACCTTGCACAGAAGAGTGACTGTTACATGCTGAGCCTGCGCACGGGCCTCATTTTGGGGGTCCGACGGTTGCTGGGGTCCCCCAGGCCGCACGCCCCTCAGACGCGCGCCCTGGAGGCCCACGTCTGGCCTTAGGGTTGAGGTTTAGATTTGAGGCAGCATTTATTTATTTGCTGTCCTATTTTTGTCTGTTCAGGCGTCGTTTTGTGCTTGCAGTTAGTCCGAAAAGACTTTCGGTCTGTTCGGACACAGCCACGTTTTGGCCTGGTACGGACGTAGGAAGGCGCTGTTGGGCCAGGTCCATTTTCGTCCGGTAGTGCATGCTCCCTGCTGCATCAGCAGGGAGGACGTCCGGTAGGGACCCAGGCAGGCCGTTTTGAGGCCAGGACCAGAGGCACACAAAGGCACACCCGCGAGGCCCAGCGCTACTTATAGCTGGGCCACGCCAGGGAAGACACACAGTTTCAGTTGCTCACTTCTTGGGCGGCATGCTGCTAGAGCAGCGCGACAGCGCTACGCTAGAGGTAGAGGTGTAGGTAGGGAGTGAGGCGGAGGCCATACCTGCGCCGGCGGAGATCTTACCTGGGTGCCATGGCAGGTCTTCACGCCAGCGCGCTGCAGCACAGAGGAGGCACTCGGCGACAGTTAGTACATGGCGGCCGTTACCTGCAGGTGAGATAGCGGGGAGGACGACATCTTCTTCTTCTTGCTCTCGCCCTCCATCTCACCTTCTTCCTCGTTTCCTCTCCTCCTCCTCTTCCTCCTCCTAACAGGCAGGTTACATCAGGCCACGAGGCCCAGGATCTGATTCGATGTTTTGTGGGCATTTGGCAGGGAGACTATTTTTGGACTTCGCTATCGCGGTCTTGGTCTTGTCCCTCATCTCCATCTTCATCTAGCCTCTCCCCCCATCTCCTCATCCGTGGTATCTCGCCATGTGCGTGATCAAGGAGGGACCTTTTGTCTATGTGTGCGGTCCCAGGTCATATCTGTGAGTCTTCCGCTGTGCTACATTGTGCGATTTTCATATGTATCTGAATGTACATTGCTTGTTGATGCTTTGCTGACACTGCATTATCCATTCAAGTCCTTTTGATCACTTTGCGGATCATTGGATCCCCATACATAGAGATCCGTCAAGAAAAGGAAGGAAAAAAAGAAAAAACTTAAAGAAAGAGAGAAGAGAGAGAGAACTCCAGAAGGGCAAAATGAAGATGAAGCCTCTTTTCTGGCGAAGAAGGAAAGCCAGAGACTGAAGAAGAAGAAGAAGAAGAAGAAGAAGAAGAAGAAGAACAAAACGAGAAAGAAGACAGCTTTATTGATTGATGATTATGACGAAGACAGGCCTCCCTCCTTGCCTCCGCAGGACTGTATTGGCAGTGGCTCCTCAGTCAAACGGTGCCAGTCCTGTGGAGGGCCGGTAGCTGCCTACGGGTCCCAGTGTAGGCCCGTTAGCATGTGCTGGTAAACGGCCTGCTGACCATTGGCGGTGCACCACAGTGTATGCATATGTCTGTACATGTCTTCATCAGAAAGTCCCAGGTTTCTTCTGTCACTCAACAGGCAAAGTGGTGCGTTGCTTTGGCACTGTGTGTGTGTGTGTGTGTGTGTGTTGCAGGCATTGATTCATGGACTGAATCGGCATTACTATTCGATTGGAATAAATTATCGAAAGAACGAGTTGGAGGAGAAGATGCTGTTGAACCTTCACAAAAAGTGGTGGGCCAGTGGACTCACATTGGAGCGATTCCATCAACACAGCCAGATGAATGAGAAGACCATCCAGGTAGGCCCAGCGAGTGAGTCGAAACCATATTGACTAGTAGTATTGGGGAAGGGTGGAGCAGATGTCCATGAAAAACTGTGCTTCGCCTGCCGGCCCGAATAGGGGTATTAAAGCCACCAGGTTCTTGTTGCGATGGCCTCCTTGGTGGCACTGACACAAGTCATGACATGTGTCCTTGCTCCATCCAATTGTCCGTTTTCAGATCCCTATGGAACATGTTCAGAGTCTTGAATGCACTACAGTCTTCCCTCGAATACAACGCACGGTCATTCTAGTTGAATTTGGGGTATCTTTCAGTCTAAGTACAGCTATAATGACCGTACGTTGTATTCGGGGGAAGAGCTAGCCAATTTGTGGAATTGGAACGTTCTAGCATCGACGGCTGCTGCTGAACTCACTAAGTACAGCTATAATGACCGTACGTTGTATTCGGGGGAAGACGTTAGCCAATTTGTGGAATTGGAACGTTCTAGCATCGACGGCTGCTGCTGAACTCACAGTGCATCGAAGAGTGTCCTTGTGCGTTGACAATTCGGAGCCTTTTTTTCTTGAGGCGGATTTCTGCTGCGCGTCAAAGAAAAAATGAAACCGTGCGGTGTGAGTGGGTTGCATGTGGTGTGTGGGAGAGAGTGTCGGCTTTTGGTGCGGGTGGGGGAAGATGAAAAGGGAGGCACAGTTACTGGCAAATGCTCGGCCCTTGTGTTAGCCAGGCCCCCACCGGCAATGCTAGGGCAAAGGGGCAAACATGCCCTTACCTCTCTCCACTCCACCGAGAGAGGTAACCTCCCTTCACCGAAGAGAGGTAGAAAGCATAGCCTTAGGAGTACTGGTAGGTAGGTAGTGAAAGAGATGTGCTCGATGACATGGCAGAATGCCAGTTAAAAGTATGTGAGGTGAGAGAAAAATTTATGGCTGTGCCCTGATGTGTTTATCCCATCCCCCTTCACTCTACCCCTTTCTTACAGCGTACAAGTGGGCTGTTATGGCACACGGGGATGGGGGCAGCTCGTGCTCAACTTCATCAACGTGGCGAGCCTTGTACGTGAGAGGCACGGTGAAAGAGGAGTCAACAGAAGAATGAGAAAAATGAATGGTTTCACTGTGCCCTTCATGTTTGTCTTGTTTTTGTAATTTTTAATTTTTGCCGTTTGTTTTGCAAATTGCGTTCTTTTAGTTCATAGTTATGTGACCAAATAGATATATATATCCCTCTCTGCCTACGGTTTACCGGGCAGTTCTATTTGACGATATATATAATATAGAGATTGAAGAGGCGACCATAGGCGCCGCCAGGCGGCGGCCCTTCGGCCTTAGTCCCTTACTATCAAATATATACCTTTATAGAAACAACTATCCGTGAATATATATATTATATATTATGTGACAATATATATTTTGGCTGTGACATACCTTTCTTTGTTTCGTGGGTGTTTGCTTGCTTGTGATGGGGTGTGAACCGACAGTCTGTAGAGTTTTCCATCTGGTGTGGGTGAGTGATAGTCTGCGTTGACTTTTGCCACAGGTACTTTGAGGGCAGTGGTTGGTGCCCACCTCAGGGAATCAGTTGTCGGGCAGTCGTTGATGCTTAACCACAGCCGGGGTTAAGGTGGATTATCACTTACAGTGTAATCAGTTAGGGGATTCTGCAGACTGTTAAGGGTTCAGCCTCCTGATGAGTTGGTGAACTCCGACGAAACAGTTTGCCACAGCCCCTCGTTTGTTGTCCTCTTCTCCCTCTCTGCCTACGGTTTACCGGGCAGCTCTGTTTGACTATATATATATATTTTTTGCCCTTCCCTAAACATATAGAAATCGCTAAGGTGAGGAACCTGTCATCGTCGCCGTCCGTGGTCCTACCAGGCCGACGCCCCGGATTGTTGCACGATCGATCCAGGTCATTCACGGTTACCGGGCCATGGCCAGGATAGACGTGCGATCTTAAGATTTTAACATCGCGTGACGATCTGGGGCCTCGGCCTGGTGCCGGTTGGCCAATGGCCCAGGCTAGAAGTGTGCAGCCCAACGGGCTGCCAGGCCAATGAAAAAAACGGTTACAGGCGGGCCGGTCTCCTATTGGGCGTAGCGGTTCGGCCCTTTTCCCACACATATCTTTGGCGGCGCACAGACGTGATGATAGCGAACTTGACACCACACACTCACATGGACGCCTACCTGCTCGCCCGCTCAAGCACACACACGAACGCACGCACATGCATGCACGCACATGCATGCACGCACACATGCACACGCACACGTATGCACATTCACGCACGCGTGCAAAATGTGGGCAGACTGTCAGGGTTCAACCTCCCAATGAGTTGGTGAAAGTCCAACGAAACAGGATCGCTCAGTCATGCTTTTTTGTAGGGTTTCCCACAAACACACGATGTCTCTGTGTGTGTGTGTGTGTGTGTGTGTGTGTGTGTGTGTGTGTGTGTGTGTGTGTGTGAGAGAGAGAGAGAGAGAGAGAGAGAGAGAGAGAGAGAGAGAGAGAGAGAGAGAGAGAGAGGGCACCCACCATGACGACACTGACTGATGAAAATGATGGTGAAGATGGCGATGAAGATGAAAGATAGGAGCACGATTTGCGAGGACAATGTAAGATGATAATGGCATCAGGAATCGAGAAATGGGGCAGAAACAGGATATGGCGGTTTCATTTTTCTTTCCTTACTGACTCTGATCGTGAAAGGGAGAAGCGACATGATGATGGGACATGATAATGGGATTGGGTTTCGAAAAGGACGAGAAGGTAAATTGGCAGGGAGGAGACGGCTTGAAGGACTCTGGGTTGGAATGCACTGAGCAGGGAGTGGAGGATGTGGGGGAATCAGGATGAGGGGAACGGCAGGCGGGTGTGGCAATTGTTGGGGGAGATCGGGGTGAAGGAGGACAAACACAGCCATTGTGCTGGAGTTGGGGATAATGGAAAAGGAGGATGTGCGAACCCACCCTTTGTCCTCTGTGTGCGTGTGTGTGTGTGTGTGTGTGTGTGTGTGTGTGTGTGTGTGTGAGAGAGAGAGAGAGAGAGAGAGAGAGAGAGAGAGAGAGAGAGAGAGAGAGTTTCCATGGGTCGGTTGCCTCCACCCCTCGTGCATCACCTGTTGAATTTGTTTTTGCAAGCGAAGCCGCAACAGATCATCTAGTTTGGTTGGCGCCACGAGCCAAAGAGCTCCTGTAGGCGAAGCCTCGAGAGTCGTGGCTGCTGTACAGCTGCATCAGGAGACTCGGGAACACAATAGCTGGGAAACGTACTGGTGGTTTAATGCTGGTGGTAGCACACAAGAAAAAAAATATTGCTGCGCACCTTGTTGCATGCTGGTCGGTTAATCTGTGGGCAATAAGCTGTGGAGGGGGATTATAGAGAATGTGGGGTGCTGGTGCTGTTCCTGTGCTTGTGAAAAACTGAACGTGGTCCTGAAGATGGACATGTCTGTGCTATCTTGAACCTGGATGTAAAGATGCACAGGTTGTAGCTGTCTTAGCTAGAACACAGTGGCAGCGAGCCCTGGCCCTGACTCTTCGGCAACGGACTGAACCAGATGGTTCTTGCTGGGCCATGGTCCCGGTAGTGGGGAGGGACATGCTTGGTCTTGTGGAATAATCCAGTCCTTAACTTGAAAATGTGATGCTTGAGAATTGCAAAAGTAACGTCTTGGCATGGTGTCTTGTGGAATAATCCAGTCCTTAACGTCTTGTGGAATAATCCAGTCCTCAACTCCAGCTCCGTGACCATCCGCTTGAGAATTGAAAAAGTAACGTCTTGCGGAATAATCCAGTACTCAACTCCAGCTCCGTGACCATCCGCTTCCCACATGGCACGCTGACATGCTGGTTTTACTAAACCCATGGAGAACGCCAGGCTTCTGTAAATGCAGGAATGGGTTTGGGTCACTTTTTGGTCCTATCTTCGGAACGGAAATTCCATTAATTAATTTCCGACCGAATCGTTTTGATTGAACAGAACATCCCGGGGTGTCCTATTTCCAACTGCTGACTTCTGTTTTGCCTCATGTTCACAATTTCGTATGATTTCGTAATCTCAACCAAGGGGCGACTGAGGTCCCCGTTCCCCATATGCCTTCTTTTGCCGTACTCGACAGGAACTCGATGAGCCGGCAGACTAGCGAGTCGTGTTTACCCCATTTATCTCTCGGCATTGCAGAGTGATGAGTGGTAAAAATGGCACCTTATTAAAAACAAAAACAAAAAAAAAAACGAAAAGGCACCTTATCGTCTGCTCGTGCTGCATCTTGCATCTTGCATTTACTGCCTGGTGTCCTTGGGTCTTGGCTAGGAATTGCCTGCAGTGCTTAAGAGCTTTTCTAGCACTTCTTATCGCAAGCAAACATTTGAGGTAGAAATGAAGCCCCAAGAGTGCTTATGAACAGAGATAGGTCTAGTTGCTGACTGCTGAGTACTTGTTTACAGTTCGCGAACATTCGTGCATATCGTCCAGACGCTTGGAACGAGAATCAAAGTGGGAAAATATGATATTCACATTTGCATGCAATCGAGATGGCACATCTGCGGAGTATGCAAGCAGCAGTTAGCCCTTTCTGTAAGGAATTGTCATTTCCGCGGGCTGGGCTGCTTTTTCGGAGCACATGGAAGAATGTGGTTTTCTGAAAGGAACTGTTTTGGGTTTGTGCTTTGCTGAAACGTGTTTCTGTGTGTGGAATTGTCACCGATTTTCCTGATTCTCTCATCTTTTTTGTTCTTCTTTTTTTTGTCAATGAAGGGTCTAGCCCCAAAAATTGTTGTATTAGTTGGATCGGACTCCTTTGCATTTTGAACTCATGGTCTGTTTGCTAACAGTTTCATGTGTGTACCGTTCAGCCACATGGGGGGCTGTGTCCAGTTCCTGATGATTGATGGCTAACTGAGAACATGTAAGAAACAACCGCCGGCCATCTTGTTGCTGTTCAAGTCCAGCGAAGCTTGGCTGGATCCTTTCAATTCCTTTGCCTTGGGAGTTCCCCCTGCACTGCAGAGACCTGGTTCTATGAAAACTTTGCCGGCACAAAGATATAGCAAAGATGTAACAAGAGATTGACAGGAGATGCTGGAATTGGATTTCTAGTCGCTGATGAAGTATTCGGGTGTGGGTATGAAAACTTTCTGCATTGCAATTGACAGGAGATGCTGGACTTGGCGCAAAGATATAACAAAGCGGTGCAGGAGGAAGATAGCTTGCCACCGGAGAAGCTGGCAATCGCAAATGTAGGCAGGCAAGACGCTCGGCGGCACCTAGAGGAGAACGTCTCGCACTTGATGGCCTCCAATATCGTCCAGACGCTCGGAACGATGCTTGACACGGTTGTATTTTGATTTGCAATGTGTGTGTGTGTGTGTGCGTGTGTGTGTGTGTGTGTGTGTGTGTGTGTGTGTGTGTGTGTGTGTGAAAGAATAGCAGGGAATGTGGTTTCTTCAGGCACAGGTTTTGACAGAGCATGTTTAGGTGGAGACTCTACTTGAATATTTAGGTAAGACCTATAGGTGGTGAGGCCTAAACAAGCTTCTTCAGGTACAGGTTCTTGCTTGTGTTTCGGTATGTAGAGGAAGGAGGAATGGGGAAGAGTGGGTTCTTAGAACCTTGCTGTTTAAGAAAGCACATGTCCTGTGTCTTTTGCGGCGGGTTAGTGACTTTGTTACGTAAAGATGGGAATGCATTTGTGACGAGTTTGATGTCGGCAATCGGTCAGTTGCTTACCGGAAACGATCCAGAAGAAGCGTGCATGGGATGGTCGTTTCACGAGTCGTCCATCTTTCGTTTTGTTTTGGTGTGCGCTTTTCGGCCGCTCGCTCATCCCGTTTTGTGTTTGTTCTTTCAACTGTAATCGCCACCTCTTTTCACCAGGGTGTGTGTTTTTCTTTCATCTGCAAGTGTCACCTCTTTCCGCTGTGGAATTGCGTATGTGTGTCAGACCAGTGGACGGGGCGCTTCGCAGGGACTCTCAAGGTTTTCTTAGAATGTTTTAAGGTTTACCAGCCGAGGGCTCTTTTCTTTTGATCAACTGGCGTCTTCGGCCGTGCAATGTAAAACTCGAATTTACATCGCACGGCCAGCGTTGGGCTGCATCGGTGTTCTTGTGGTCCGAGCTGCGTCGGTGTTCTTGTGGTCTGAGAGTCTGCCACATTAGCAAGTTCTCGGTTGGGCGATTTTGGAGCGTGCGATGTGAATGTGGTTTGGTAGGTGTGCGGTGTGGCTTTTGGTTGTGGAGCGTTTGTGAAGATGTGCCACGTGATTTGCGGTTGTCAGTGTGATGTGCTTGCCGGTTTTGTCTTCTTCTTTCGTCTTTCGGTTCTGTTTTCTTCTGTTTTGTGTTTGTTTTTGTTTCTTGTTTTTTGAAGGACGGGGGTTCGAATCCAGGTGGTCATATGGTGAAAACAGGTAAAACGGAAGCTGAAGGTACACGGAAGGTTGCACTCACCAGAATTTGTTCGGGGGCGGGGGCGTGGTGAAGCGTGCCGTGGGCGATGATAGGGCCGGAACCCACCACTATCTGAATGGCACTTAGGTGCAAAAGAATTGTTGTAAAGAAAAGAGAAGAAACATAAAAAAAAGAGGGGGGGGGGAAATAAATCGTGGGGGAATCATGCTGAGATGAAAGTCGACGGAAGGTTGCAGTCACCGGAATTTGGCGACGGGAGCATGTGAGAAATCATGTCGTCGAGGTAGGTAGCCCTGGAGGTTGGCGGTTCAAATTGCTGTGAAGAAAAGACAGGAAAAAAAGAAAAAGGGAAAAAGAAAGAAATTGTGGGGGTGTTCTGGCATGAAAGTCGAGGGAAGGTTGCAGTCACCAGAATTTGGGGAGGGGGTGCGTGAGAAATCATGTCGTCGAGGTAGGTAGCCGGGGACACACCTACCACTCATCAGACCATATCCCAGCCGCGCCACTCTTCACAAAACAACGCTCGTGCACCTTCTCATCAGCCAAACACCACTGCACTCCCTTTGGGACAAACAGCAGACCAGCTTGCTGCACCTGCTTCGCAGCCCTCCTCGCATTGTGAGCTCCACATCGAACGTCGTCTCCCAAGCCAGGAAACTCACCTTTCCCGAAGCATTACCAAACCCAATGACAACACCACGCCAGCAATCGAGTAAACGTTCCTTTGTGTCCGATACCGACCCACAGCATCTTGCAACCCATTACAGTCCCAACCAAATCCCACGCGAAACAACACCATCTCCTGCAGCAGTACACAATGCAGTAGCTCCAACCGACTGCAACAAATAGCGTCACACATCACCGTGCATTGACTGGACCAAGTCAACAATCACTGACACGGTTGTGTTGCTAATACAACTCGTACTCCAACAAACCAACCATCACAGCCCAACACTGCTCATCAGCCATCCTCTCCACCAAAAGACGACTACCAAACGCCATCTGCTCCACCAAAAGACGACTACCAAACGCCATCCGCAGGCATTCCTGCTGCACCATCTCAACAGCTTCCAGTCCATGTTCGGAAACACTCACAGACGGGCCTCGGCGCCTGCATTGCCAAGGCTCCATCATCTCAATCTCCTCAGACAGACACACGGCTTAGACCACGGCCTTCCAATTCCAGTTCTATTACGCGTAACGGGGTCCCACCAGGCGCAACAATCGTCTACAAAGTTAGCTATCTATGGCGGTCCTCTTCGGGCTGACAGACTTTCAACAGAAGCAGTTGACCACAGCACTTAACATAAACTTTGGAATTGGTGTGAGATACTGAACAAGGTCGGTAGGCCACTTACAGTAAATTACATGCTGTTTCGCCGCTTCGTTGATGAACCCGGTGTCGAACCCACAGAGCACATCTGGCAGGATTTCTTGCTTGCGAGAGGAGCAATTGAAAAATCTTTCCGGAAGTATCCCAACAGCTTGATTCCAGATAACGGTGCCCTTGGTGATGCAGACGCAGTGATACAAGCCATCATTGAATTGGGATACCACACGTCTCCGCTCCCGGCCATCCAACGCATCTGCCGAAGTATAGGCAGTACGTCCAAGAAGATTACGTTGCCAGATGTCCGCGACTTGAGAGTTGCTAGCTGACCAACTGCCTGACAAACGGAGGGTGTAGAATCCCTACCCCAGAGCATGTAACACTGACTGCCGGATTGCCACATACGCAGAGAATAAAGGTCGGGTTTCTCAAGCATATACATTCGCATGTGCACACACAAGAGATCATCGGACTTTCCTGCAGCGTCATGAAGGAGACAGCAAGCGAGTCTCGCTCTCTCTTAAAGCTGGACTGTACGTGGATTACCATCGCCATGTTACGAGCTTTGAAGACTACAAGAAGGCTGCAGCTTCTTTCATGGGCAATTGAGCTGACCACTTCACCTTTCCCCACCTATGTGACAGTCTGTTTGACTACTGGACATCGGTTGCACCTCTTGACCAACTTTGTATATATCCATTCTCAGGAACGGAAGGGCCTGTGATGTCTACAACAGAAGCCCGAATCGTAAGACATTAACAGTAGGTCTAGAGCCTTCATGCAACAGAAACAGAGCTACTGAAACGCCACTCACGCTTTCTATCTCTTTCTATTGTTCGCGTCTGCACATGCTTTCAAGTCGTCCGTGTCGTGGACCTGCCGCACTACACAAGTTGTGTCTCCAGTACGACGATAGCTAACGGAACCAGACAGTCATCCGTTGCCCATGTGCAGCAATCAATGCTGTTGAGTTGGTCCTTCGGCCAACAGAACAAAATGCCAGCATGTTTTTTTTGTACTTGTCACTTGCCGGTGAAATAGGAACGGAACTGATGCGCTCCACAATGCAAATGGAGCCAGGCCCATGAGACCCTCTTTTTTTTTTTTTTCTGTATATATACAAAAGAACAAAAAGAAAAACAAAAGACAGTAAGTAACATGAGGCACTCCATTGTGGAGAGTATCAGCAACATGGGCCTTCGGGGACCCCACCTTTATCGTTCTTTTTCCACATCATCAATCGTTTTCAACTTTTTTTTAAACTCGCTATTCCGTTTTTCTCCATTTGCACTCTACGATGCGCGTCTTCTTTTTGTTAGCACAGTATAATTCTAGGCTGTTTTCCCAGGCGCCCGGACACCCAAGTTGTGCCTGGAAACACGCCTGGGTGACCGGCCGGGCATGACCCCCGGGCAGGGTCCCGGGCTGCCCCAGCACCAAAAAAAAAAAAAAACGAAATCCAAAAAAATCGGGGAAGAAAATATGTTGTGTAGAATTGCAGTACAAACAACTTTTGGCCGAGGGTCGCATCGGAATTCTTCAGGGAACTGGAGATAGAAAACAAAATAACCGAATCACACCAACGCACCCCCATTTAAACCCCTTTAGCCCCTTTAAAAGTAATTTGTACCCGCCTTGCCCCCCCCTTTAAAGCCAACACTCAAAAAAAAAAAAAAGAGCCTGGATTTCGGCTCCTCTCCGAGAGCGTGGAAAACCCCCACTGACATTTTTTTCTTTTTCTTTTTTTTTTCCGTTCTACCCAGGGCCGGATATCCTGGGTGTCAGGACCCCCCCGGGCATCACGGCCGGGTGACCGGCCGGTCATGAAAATCTTTCTAGGTATATTTATAATTTTGCATTGGTGACCGGCCGGTCATGAAAATCTTTCTAGGTATATTTATAATTTTGCATTTTTCCCAAAACAAACAAACAAAAAAAAATGAAATTGTGTTTCATGATTTCATCACTACCCCTATCTGATGGCACAAAAGTCCGATGGCACTATTCTTCATGCTTTGCTCACATCTATTCCCGTGTACTCTGCTACTTCGCATTTTAGTATTTTACTGAAATCATATCCTGAGTATGCGCCTATTTCATTTTCCACAAAGCATGGCGCGCAGTGCGGTATCAAATTCATTTTTTTTAACCCCGATGTTCACCCGTTTTCGCATTTCAACACGTTACTGTGACACGTGTTTAGGTAGTGGGCTATGTGGGGATTGCCATGTTGTAGCCCTGTTTTCCGAAAAAACAAGGTGGATAAAAATGCGTCCATGCGTACTTACTTGATTTAGATTCTGAAGAACTAACCAAATTAAGTATGACTGCATTTGAGATGAACTTACCCAAGTCCACAAATGAAGTTTCGAACACCTGCTCTTGTTGGATGATAAGTCTTTCATTGCCTGCAGACGTATTACTTTTCATGACCCAATCTGTACCTTACCATCTCTCGCCTCGTAGGATCGTGTTGATGCGCCTTCAGACAATCTATACCCATGTCCTTATTTTTCCGAAGTGTATGGCCTCACTCGACAAGATCTGGGGACTTGCTTAGCCGGAGGCTTGCAGCCAACCACAAGTTCATCTTTTATCCTTCCTTGTCAACCAGCAACCACAAGTTCATCTTTTATCCTTCCTTGCCAACCAGCAGTCCCATCCTCGAGTCGTTCACAAAATGTTTCCTTTGCCCACGCCGTCACGCGGAGCTTCCTGTTGCGCCGGTACCCTGTGTTTTAGCAATGCCTTCTTTTTGACTCTACAAGTTACCCTCTACACGCTCCTTTTTCTCTGAATTCACCATCACTGCGTACGATGTAGCAAAATAATACCTCGATGGAAAAAACACCGCCATATAACAAGCTTTGTGCATGTTTACAAAAAATTCTCCGCTACATTTTCAGGATATGAAGGCACTTGCCGCATTATAAAAAACAACACACATGCCTTCGCTGTGACAGCACCTGCAAAGATAGAGCACACCAGCAGCAGGGAGTCAGGGACCTGCAACATTCTGACGACAAAAGAAGTTTTGCAAGACGCGTCAGCTATGCCGGGGTGGGAGAGGAGGCGTCTTGTCCTCCGACTCCATGACGGCATGCCATTTGACGGCTCAGGTTTCCTACAGCGCTATGGGTACCCACCCGACACGGGTGTTACATGGGTGAGAACAGTCGGTGTACCAGCATCGAGCGTCTTGTCCCGACAAGAGCTTGCACAAACGGTGGAATACGTCGAAGGTACAGAGTTTGCTGATTTCAAGGTGAAGTCGAACTTTGTCACGGTCTCCTCCGAGCGTCTTGCAGCGCGTATAGAGTCTATAGACGTCTGACTTGGATTACTTCACCCAAGGATGGCAATGGCCAGAGGAGGGCCCGAGAGGTATGTCGGAATTCATCGGGCTGATATTAAGGTTGTAT